CATTTAATTTCGTGGTGGAACAGTACGCCATCAGACGGTTATATCACGCTTTCATTCCGATATTTGGATTGTGGAGAGCCTGTGGACAATGCTATTGCAAACATCTGTGTGCACATTCTGTGTAGCTGTGTTCTTAGCTCTCTTGGGTACCTCCCTGAGACTGGACCTGCTGAATCGTACAGTACTACTGGGTTTTCTGAGAACTGCTGGACCGTTCTCTCCTCCTAAAACTCAGTAAGGGATGTGGATTTCTCCACAGCCTCCTCAACACTTTTTTCTGTCTGTTGTTGCTTCTTTATTGTCTGCTGTCATTCTGTGATTACAATGTAGAGATTCTTAGACAGTGGCTGCAGGGCAGGACCACAGCAACCACAGAGAGGTGCGGAGGTGAAGGGAGAACAATGGACTTGTTCAAGGTAATGGAGGCAGCAGCAACATAACCTATAAAGCTTCTGTTTGTCTGGAGACTAGATCTCACTATGTAGACCTCGCTTGACCGGGAACTTACTATGTAGGCAGGCTGGTCTCAAACCCACAGAGATCCTCCACAGAGATCTGCCTCCTGGGTGCTGGGTATGTGTGCCAATCTACTCGGGTTTTTTTTTTAACATAGTCTGTCTTGGAACTGGAAAGATGACTTAGTAGTTGACAGCACTTGTTGCTCTTGAAGAGGACCCAGGTTTAATTCCTATCACCCACATGGTGGCTCACAACCATCTGTAACTCCAATTCCAGGGGATATGATACCCTCTTCTGGCCCCCATGGGCACCAGGAACATACATGGTGCATGCATACATAGACACATGCAGGCAAAACACCCAAACACATACAATAAAATATTAATTTTTAAAAAAGAAAAAAGAAAAGTAAACAATGCGAGGGGCTAGAGAGGTGACTCAGGAGTTATGAGTGGTTATTGCTCCTGCACCGGTCTCAGGCTCAGTGCCCAGCACTCACATTTGAGTGGCTGACAACTGTTTTTAATGCCAGCTCTAGGGAACCCAATGCCCTCTTCTGGCCTCCAAGGACACTGCAAATGTAGTACACGTACAGACAAGCAGGCACCCTCACATAGACATAAACAAAAATAAATAGCTGGTTATGGTAGCTCAAGTCTTTAGTCTCAGCTCTTGGGAGGGAGGGGTAGCATCTCTGTACGCTTAAGGTTATCTTTGTCTCTGTCTGTCTCTCTCTCTATATATATATATATATATTATATATATATTAAAATTATATACATATATATAAATAATTTTTAAAGAGAAAGAAGACAGCACTGAGGAGGCTGAGGCAGGAAGATGCCCATGAGCTTGAGGGCAGCCTGGGCTACATGATAAGTTCCAGACAAAGACAGACGTATGATAGATGAAGAAAGTAAGTGAATACGCTGGGTCTGATGGCACGCAGTGTAAGCTCAGCACTCAGGATCCTGAAGCAGGAATTCTAGGACTACCTGGAAGACATAGTAAGACTCTGTCTCAAATAACAGAACAAGGGGACGAAAGGGGATGGGAGAAAAGAGGAGTCTGGGGGTTTTGTTCAGCAGCAGAGCATGCCTAGCACGCTGGAGCCTCAGTAAATCCCTGGGGAGGTGGGGAGGATAAGGAGTTTGACCTAGAAAGTGTAGTAATGAATGTCTGATCCCAGCACCGGCGCTTGAAAGACAGTGGCAAGATCATCCACAAATCTGAGACCAGCCTGGATTACATAGTTCCATAGCAAGACCTTATCCCAAAATTTTAAAAGAGAGTCTAATCTAAAACCAGAAAGAAATGTCTCCAACTAAAAACCGAAGACAGTGATTCAGTAGTTAGTACTGAATAATCCTGTACAATAATCATGCCTTGTTAAGCTTCCTGGTCCTCTGCTATGCTTTAGTCTCTGTGGAAAGCACGGGCTTCAACTTCTTTCTGAGTCACTGCTAACAAAGTCCCTTTTACAGTGACTGAAAGGCAGAGACTCTCTCTCCCCCTGTATCTAGCTAGGGACCTGTTAACAGAGAAGTGTAAAGACCCAAAAGGACAGCAGAGGTCCAGCGGGGCACACCTCTAATTCCTGCACTCTGGGGAAAGAGGCAGGAGCCGTGTCCCCAAGTTACAGGTCAGAGTGGAGCTACATAACAAGACCCGTCTTTAACACGAACAAACATTGCTTCCTGGGAAACATGTCTGTAATCCCAGCACTGGGGGAGGCAGAGGCAGGGAGATTTCGGGAGTTTGAGGCATGCCTGATTGACATACTTATGGAACTCCAAGCCAGGCAGGGTTACATAATGAGACCCTGTCTCAGACAAACAACAAAAAGTTGACTATCCAAACACCCCTCACCAAAGGTTATCACAGGAGCATTTCAAGAGCAGAAAAATCTAATCACAGTACAGAACTCCGACCGAGGAAGGCAGCTAGCAAAAGGAATGTCAATAAATAACGAAGACAAAAAAGGAAAGCGAATAATGCAGTTTGAAGTCTCAGTGAGTAACTGCTGACATCCAAGGTCTACAGTGTAAAACTTTAAAAATGGCCTGAAACTCACATTCTAGTTGAGCTATGCTAGTGTCCCGTGTGAACCGCCTAAGGTACCCCAAGGCTTTGAGAATGGTCAGTGGGAAGGTGTAGCGCTCTCTCAAGGAATACCAAGTGTCTTTTTCCTCCTCCTCTCAGGTGATCTTAAATTCTTCTCTTTCAGAGGTATAAATGACTCGCTTCCAGGAGTCAATGCTGACAATTCTCCATCTCTTTAGTCATTTAAATGGTAATTACCGAAGTCAGACCAGCTAGTCACCACGCATCAAAGGTCCAGTTAAGCTTGACTTGAAGTGAAGGGCTGGGCACTTAAATCGCACGTCCTTGGACAAGTCGGCCTGCCAGCCCGTGCTCACCCCCAGCTTCTAGCCAGACACCAGATTTCTCCAATTTTTCAGACCAACTCAAAGCTAAGGTGAATGACTGTCTTTCCCTTGGGTAATTAGTGTATCTCTAATTGCATTCATCCGGTCCTCCTTGACTGTCCTAGCTGCTCCATAGCCCCCAGTGTCACTGAAACCAACGCGCCAGGCCGCAGGACGGGAACGAGTCATTGAGATTCTGGCAAAGCTCACCCGGTGCCAGCGTGACCCGGTGAGTGAGTGAGGAGCCTCTAGGGCCGTGCAGGCGTGACACCACCTGGCGGAACCTGGGGGAAGAGTCTCAAAAGAAGGCTCTCCTTTGCTCCCGGCGCAATCCAGCAGGATCCAGCGAGAGCTCGCTTCCCTCCACTGCCCCGCGTCTCCCGCCCCCCACTCCCCACACGCAGGTAAGCAAGACAGTGGCCGCAGCTTAGCGACTGCCCCGCGCTCGATAGCTCTGGCTGGAGTTGCGGTCGGAGGGTGGCGCCCAAGTTTTTGGAAGGCCTCGGAGGGCAGCTTCGGTACGCACCGCGTGTCTGTTCGGGGTTGGAGGGGGTGGCCCCAGGCTGGGGTTGTCTGAAGGCGGCCACCCGGGGCGGTGCACGGAGACAGTCGCCAGCACGCAGCAGAAAGCACGCCCGAGCCACTGCCCGGTGCACTTGGTGCGCTCTGGCAACAACGATGCCCACCAGCCTCAGCCTGCTCCCAGCCGCGACCCCGGCTCTACGCCCGCCCGCCCGCCCGCTCGCCCTGCGGTCGCTCACGGTCACGCCGGCAGGTCGCGCTCGGCG